CCAATATTCATTATGATTGAGGCTGAAAAAACTAATGTGTGGCCTCCTAAGCGTTGGATGGATAGGGGAGAGAGAGGAGCTCCACAATGGGGGTATCTAGCTCATTGCGCAAAAAAATAGCTTCCACATTTCATGGAAAGAGGATCACCCAACTCAACCCCCCCCCCCCCCCCCTATCACGTCAATGATTCCTCTCGAGGAGGGGGTGATCCTGAAACGTAACGGTGACATCTAAGTCAGACTGATTGATTCTGATTTTTCTTGTTTCATGGACGGCTGGAGCAGCGGGGGAGGGGGAAATATTGGGCTAGCGCCTTAGTTTTGATTTTAAAATAGAAACTGATAAGAACATTACAACTGTAGGGGAGGAAAAATGGGTAGCCTGCTCTTATATTTTTTGTGGATGATGTCCCATGGAATGCAATAAACTGATCAAGAAGCGTAATGAATTTTCTGGAAAAAATTCCAAAGTGCACCACAGGCTAGCAGACAAAGGCTTTACAAACTGAACAGTCCGGAATTGTTTTACGACAGAGAAGAGCTTCAAATGAATGGAAGCATTGGAAGGACAAGCGATAGCGGCTATGATTGCCTATTTGAGCTAAACTGGACGCAAACGTGCGCGGTGTCACAAAAACTCAAATATGTACCCAGCCGAAGCCGCTCCACTTCACATTCGACTTTGAGAGAAAAGAATTCGGTGAAGAACGAGAACAAAGCGAAATAACGCGGGGATCGCACATTGTTCAGAAAACAGGGAACGAGTGGTGTGGGAAGTGTGTAATAAATAACAAAGTTGGGCACATAAATATTAAGAACTGTTAAAGAGGATGAAAATTAGTAAACAGGGTGCGCGTAATCCCAGAAAGCTACAAAATATCATTGGGAAGAGACCGTGGATGATGATGTAAGGATGAGGAACTACCAACTACGGTACGATTGTCTGATTTTATGTCTAGCAAGATAACACTGACTCCGCCTAGATCGGCAGGTCCCGCCCACAACATGACCTTAGCATATGTCTTTAAATTCATGTAATGTTTGAGCTGAGTTTATTCATAAGACATCCCAAAAGTATTGACGGATGGAAAGGAGCTTAAAGAGATCGAGATGAAAAAAGGAAGAGGATGGAGAAGCTTGAGTAAAGACTGGACCATTTGAAAAGGTTTCT